GCGGAACCCATTCCCGACCTGCACGTCGACGCGTCGCTTTGGGGCATGCCCTCCAAGAAGACTGCTATCCCCGAGCCTTCCCCGAAGCCGCAGGCTGTCCCGTCCGCCAGCAGGAAGGTCATGAGTCTGGAAGAGGTGGAGAAGGCAATGCGAGAGCAAGCCACCCAACGAACCCCTCAGCCAGCTTTCTCGGAATCTGCGCCGCCTCCTCAGGGCTATCCAGGGCCTGAGTACGGCTACGGACGGCCCGAGCCTGCCCAACAGCAGTCCTTCCATGGTGTTGAACATCATCAACAGCGTGGTGGCCAGCCTCAACAGCATCCTGGCCATGGACATCCCGTACAGATTCTGCAGAGACCTCAGTCTATTACCTCCAAGCCGACTCCGCCCATTCAAGGAACTCCCAGCCCGCTTGCTCAGCCTCCTCACTCCCAAGCCCCGCCTTCGCAGCCGACTCAGATTCTTCAGAACCCGAACAGACTCTCAGGTGATGCCGCACGGCTTGGCGCTCATGGCCCTCAAGCTCATCACCAGGCCCACGGCCACCAAGGACACCGTTCGCAAGGCTCCATGGGACGTGTTCCATCCGCCAATCAGCAGCAGCAGCAACAGCAGCAGCATCTTGCGCACCTGTCAGAGGACGAGAAGGCCGCTTACCTTGATCAAGAAACCAAACGTGCTAAGCGCAATCACAAGATTTGGCTCTTGTCCAAGGATAATGGCCTTATGACACCTCAAGACAAGAATTTCGTTACCCGCATCCAGCTGCAGCAACTGGTCTCGGCCACTGGCAACCCTATTGATAACACCAACGATGATTCGTTAACTGAGGATTTCTACTACCAGGTCCTTAGCCAGATCCGTGGCGGCCAGCGTCAGAACCCCAACCAGCCGTTGAACAACTTTGCTCAAACCTACCTCTTCCAAACCGGCAGCCGCCAGGGCAACATGAGAAGACAGGGACGGGCGGCAGAAAACCATGTTCAGCGAATGGAGCAGCAAGTTCAACGTGCTGTCGAGGCTGCCAAGAACAAGCCGAAGAACCCCCAGCTGGTCATCGCTGGTAGTCTCGGAAAGATTTCCTTCAGCAATGCGAAGACGCCCAAGCCCCTCCTGAACATCAAGCGAACTGACAGCAGTGGAGATGCCAACCGTCCTGGTAACGGCAAGCGCCATGGCGAGTCGAACAGTCTGGATCGCAAGGCTATCCTGCGAAACATTGAGAAGGTCTATAACACCATCATGAAGATGGAAGACCATGCCCGCTTCATTCCCCCTCCTCCCACAAATGGAAACGACGAAGAGTTCCATGCTAAGCACCAAGAGTGGTTGGAGACGGCTCAAGCCTACAATGCCCAGCTCTGGAACGATCTCAAGGTTCATGAGCCTATTGGCGCTACCACCCTCCACCCCTTCATTGCATTCCTGTCCTTCCCCAAGGGCAAGAAGGCCATTCCCCGCGTCTTCCGCCACATCAGCTTCGAACAGCGCACCACGATTTTGACCATGATCATTATCCACCTGGACCAGCTTGATGTGGTTTATGGAGCTCAGACCACCGACGGCGAAGTCAGCCTCAATGCTGCTATGCGTGAGAGCATTGAGCTTTTCTCGGCAGCCGTCATGCCGAGCCTGTTTGCTTACTTCAACGAGACGGAGTTGGACATTGTGACGGGCGTTCTTGGTCTTATTAGCACCAAGTTGAACATTGATCTCATTGCCAAGACTCGGGTTGGATGCTCAATGCTGACTCTCATTCTGAGCCGAGCCGAGCTTCTGAAGCAAGGTGGCGGAGGTAGCCCTCAGCTGTGGGCTGAGTGGTAAGTCAGGCAACATCTAGTCAGACTCACAGTTACTAACAATCTCGCAGGGAACAAACCTTCAACATGTTCTTCAACAAGCTTGAGCCCACCCTCCATCACATCTTCCCCGGCAGCGTCAACACGGGAGAAGACGTTGTGGTTTGGCAGCTCCTCGCTGCGGTTGGTGTCAGTGCCAACCCTGAGCAGCAGCAACGCCTGGTCCTTGCTGTCAAGGACCGCGTCCTCGACACCGTCGCGCACGCAAAGACGCTCCCGGGCGCCATGGCAACTACTCGGTTGGCCACTGTCAACCTCTTCATGCACTCCATTGGTTTGGATGTCGAATTGCTTCAGTAAGGGGATGTATTAGTGGAAGAGAACGTGCAATCGCGGCGTTCATTGCGCCATTCGCGGTTGGAGCGCATTACAATTGACTGAAGAAACGCGTTGGGATGCTTGGGATATAAAGGGTCTTATGACGCATGGCCCGTGATTTTTTGAGGGCTTTGGGGCCGCTGCTGAGCTGTAGTACTGGGACTACAGTTTGATGGAGGCTTCAACATGCGACGATGGCTTGTCCCGTGGCAATATGCACAAACATATCTTGTGTAGAATACGCACACGACTCTATGAGATGGCGCCGCCATATGAGTATCAGGGGTGGGTCGAGACCAGTCTTGCTAGTTAGAGCAAAAGAAAATCTGCATTTGAAGTTTAAGCAAAGTCTCATCTTCTCTGAGTGACCTCTCTATAACACCGTAACGCCTGAGCTATGCAAATCGAATCCTCTGTCGAGTAGACTGACTGTCCCTTATGTGAGATCCATGCTTGAGGATGCTTGCGCAGGCGCAGGCGCAGCTCTTGCTTTGCCTCCACGCCGTGCGGCCACAGCACCCCGGGCCTTGGGCTTCACCTTGCGCGCCTGCTCTTGAGCAGCGGCCACAGCTGCCGCCTCAGCGTCCATTTCCGCCTTGGTCGGGAGCTTTGGCTTCTTGATACCGCTGACAGCCTCCAAGAGCTCGTCGTCGCCCCATTTGGTCTCCAACCTCGCAACCTTGTCAGCTAGATCCACCACGGGCTTCTCCTCCTCGGCCCCGTCAATGGCGGCCTTCTTCTTCTTTTCCTCGTCCTCTTCGTCGGCTAGGGGCGCAGGCTTCTCTCCGGGAGCGCGCATGATGAGACTCTCCTGGTAAATCTCCCAGGCCGCCTCGTTGTCCTCGTCCGTGTACTTTAGCTTGCGCCAGTTCTCCATCTGGACGGAGCGGAGGCGGTCGGCCATGGTTTCGCTCTTTGCGGTGGCGCCGTCCTGGGTCGTCTTGATGGTCATGTGGATCGCGCGCGCGGCGGCCGATTGCGGGCCCGCGCCGCCTGCTCCCCCGGGCCCGCCTGCTGCCGCGGCGGATTCCTTGGCCGCTGCGGCGGAGGCGTTGCGCTCTTGTTGGGCTACGGCGTCGACGTGGTGGAGTTGGGGGCGGAGGTGGACAAGGTTCGTCACGGGGGTGAGGTGGAGGTCCTCTAAATAGGGGCAGTTGTGGTTAGTAAACTGGAAGAACAGGGAAAGGGAAGTGAGACTCACTTCCTTGGAAGACGCCAATCATGTACTGAACCTCCTTATGGTCAGGACATTGACCGCCGAGCGTCTGCGTGCGAAGGACCTTGTCCTGGCGCACCGCTTCGGGCCACTCGAGGTACAAGTCATCCTCCAAATCGACGTCGCCGCGTCTCTTCTGCCTAGGCGGCGGCGCGCCGACGCCGAAGCCGCCAGACAGGCCGTGTGTGCCGCCGTTCTTGGACTCGAGACTGGCTTTCAGCTGGCGGCCCCACTTCATTCCCTTTTCCTTGTCGTAGGACTGAGTGTAGTCGAGGGGCACGTCGACCTCAACCATGCCGGAGCGGCCCTTGAGGCGCATTTCGGTCGGGGCGGTGGTGCGCGGGTCGGTGCGGTTGGGCTGCTGGAGGACCCAGAGCTTGCGTCCCTGCGGGAGGGAGGGGTTGAAGAAGACGTCGTAGGAGGCGACGACGGGGTCTGGGTCGAAGGATTCGTCGATCTCGGGCTCCATTGTTGCTGTTGGGGCGGTCATTGTTGTGGTGTTGGTGTGAATTGGACAAGGTCAATTCGTGACTCTTGTTCGCCCGAGATGTGTGGTCTGAGGTCGGGAAATTTTTGGATTGCGCCGGTGAGTCCTTACCCCCACGGCGGGATGGACGTCAGCGCTTATCGATAAGAGTGCTGTAGCTCACCCTTGTCCGAGGTGGGGGACGACCTTCTTGTAGCTCCTTTCTTTGACTACCTACACCTTCGTTCCCTCGGAGAAACACAAGTTGACCTAAGGTGCATTAAGATCATAACTCTCTTTGCCAGTATCTGTTTCAATGTAAAACAAGACAAGAATCTGATCAACCCATCGAAGTGCACCAATCCTTAGATGGACGGAGCTCAGTCTGCCTAGGAATGACTTAGCTGGAGAACCATACCTCGATTCCACCAAAGTGGCTCTGTGACCAACAACAGCAGGAAAGAGCAGCAGCCGTTACATCGCCTTCGCATTTGGGTTTATCACCAATGCTGCAGATTCAAACTCTCTGGGATATTGTAGGGCAGACTCAACACTATGGGGTCATCTGCCGCGTGAATAGTCTGAAGGATCTCTCTAGTTCCTACTCCCCGGCACGACACCTTGTGCTTCCAGCGCTGGACGTCCAAAATTGTTCATCAGTCACATTGGCTATGGATAACAGCTTCATACCCGTATAAGCCGTTGCATTGGCTTGTGACTTTATTGCAAGCACACCCTTGCTTTGCTGTCGAAGGTGTTGCGCTCATCTGTTGTGGCGAGGTTGGGTCGTGGCGACTGGACATAACGCGCCGGCCTTATGAGAGGGATGCAGTTCATGCAGTCTACTTCTCATGGGTTGAGCCCTACAAACGAATCAACGGGTTAAATCCTGACTTTTAGTTGACGGATAGCTCACGATCCTTGGACAACTGGCAACGCTATGTCGCCATCTAAACTGGTTCGGGCTAATATTAAAGTAGCGCTGATGAGAGACACTAGCAACCACACGAAGACTTACACGCAACCCAGCTTCACGCTTCCTCATCTACTTTAAGATTCGAGTACAGCCCGTTGGGTGAACTTTGCAGAAATGTGACCCAGCATCATTATGACCTTGCATGGAAGCCATCGATAGCCCCAGATGGCGGCCGAAGTCCCAAACTCACTGAACTGGGTATCTTTCGTGACGGGCATTCTCTCCTTCGCCCTCACCACTCTCAACTTGATAGCCCTTTACGGCAACTTCGTTGCCACGATAAGATCTGCCCCAAACGAAATACGAGATTCGCTAGGAAACCTCAGACAACAACTCTGCGAAGAGCGCCAAGCCCTGCGGCACCAGTCTCGAGAGATCCGCACAAAAACGAAGCTGCGCCAGCGCATCTTCAACCTGAGCGACAGAGACGCCAGCCACGAAGCCCGCTCAGCACTATCCTACGCGGAGCAGACGCTGCCCCTCCACTACCTCACCCTCCGCGACCTCTGGCGCACCTTCAAAGAGCTTGAGCGGCCGTTCCTCATCGCGAGCGGGTACCGCGCCGAGGCCATACACAACGGTGCGTCGTGGGGCGAGGCGGATCTCGACGAGAAGGTCCGGGCCGATTTCGAGAGGCACGGGGAGCAAAACAGCTTCGCGGACTGGAGTGCGATTTACAAATGTGATTTTGCGCATCGGTTCATTTGGTGGCAGATCAAGGATGATGTGAAGAAGCTTGGGGACGAGGTCATGCGGATCATGGCGAGGCGGACGGAAAGGGAGGTGACTTATACGCGCATGATGGTGAAGCAGATCTTCCAGGGTGATGGGCCAGCGCAGATTGTTGACGTCCGGCCTCCGCGACGGCCTCCTGGTGGAGGGGGTGGCGGCGGTGGAGGAGCCAGGAGGCGTATGAGTTGGGGATCTGGGCCTGTGAGGCGGAGTCCGATTCCGATGAGACGAAGTCCTGCTCCGGTTAGGAGAGCTCCTGTACCCGTCCCTGTGAGGACGCCACATCACGATCGATCCAAGAAACACATCGAAAGAAGCTCGAGTTCTTCCTCCTCTACGAGCACAAGCAGCAACAGGGACAATCACGCGACGAGACGGGGCATGGATGTGCCGAGACGCAGTGGTTCGGTAATCAGCGAGCATAGACACAGTCACCCAAAGAGCGACGCCGCTACTATTGGGAAACATCAGCGTCGTCCGAACCATCAGCCACAGGCGGGAAGTAGTCGATGGGAGCAGTTTCGCGGCAGGCCTTCGCGGCAATATGATCTTAGGGAGTACTTTGAGGGTCGGGGGCGGGATCATTCGAGGATCATAGAGGTTATTCCAGAGAGTGAGATTGACTACTTTTCACCCCGGTCGCGGCACAAGAACGACGAGAAGTGAAGCGACTGCTTTCATAACTTGTAGATTAAAGACAACTTGAAGAAATCAAAGTCTGTGTTCTTGAATTTGTCCCGCAGATAACAAGCTGGCTTTCAACTGAGCCGTGGACAAGATGGGGCGATAGGATCCAAGTGATCAAGGTTGACAGATAATTCCAGATGTCCGGTAATTCGAGGTGGAGGGGCAATGATATAACCGCCACAGGCTGACTGGCTGATGTTTCATGGTCTTTGCAGACGAAGACCACTCGGTGAATGTATTGACAAGTCTATCATCTAACTCGTGCGATATCTCGCTAGTTTCTCATTGCCGCCAAGATCCCTTGAGCATCCATTGTGGCAGTACAACTTTGTGATCACGCTCAGAACCAGCCGCCTTATTTTCTTCATTTCCAGAGCTCAGTGTCCGTTTTGCGTCTTGAGCGCCCAACAGGCTCCTCCGAATGTCTTCGGCTCGCGCTAAGAGGTTGTATCTTCTCTCCAAGGGCATGGCCTGAATTCCGTGCGACTGAATCCACAGCACAAGTTCGTAGAGTGTCATCAATGTGAGATCGACTACGTCGGCTGGAAGCTGACTTCTTGATCTGAGATACGTCCCCTTGGCGGAATCGAAGGTCTTTCAGGGGCGGGACTGATCCCTTGGCACATGAATGCGCCTTCGGCTGCATTTGCTGCAGTGCTTTGACATGGCTAGGTAAGCGCCTGATGGCACTTCAAACAGGGGCTCCTCGTCTAGCAGACCAGTCGATGCATTCCTGCACTCCCCGCAGACGATGGGAATAGTCTCTGAATCGCCTTTCGAGATGTCCACATGCCTCCAGAGCTCTTCATAGAGTTGGAGTCCAAGTCTCCCCATTTTGCTATTTTTGGAGCTCTTCGCGTACGACCTCAGACCGTTTATCAGCTGGTCCAGGGGGTCACAGATGTTGAGCCCGGCCCACGAATAAGGCTGTACTTCACAATCTGGAGGCAGCCTCAAAGCTAGCTCGCTCGGCAGCAGTGTCCGGAAGATGAGGGCGGCGTACTCTTCGAAAATGGTCAAGAGTAGCTGTCGTCGATCTTTTTCAGTCTCGGTGGCGGGCTGTCTTGGCAGCTGTGCAAACTTGGCCCAGGCATTGTGTGTTGCCCTCAGAACCCAAAAGGCCACATGGCTGGAGGGCAGCTTTTTATGGTCTCCGATGTTTCGCTCGGCTTCAAGTCTCTGCTGGAAGCGAATTCGCTCTCTTGTGTGCTCTCTGATGCGTCTTTCGAGGAGCTGCGACTGGCCAGCAGATATACCGGCAGTACCATTCTAGTTGCAGATGACATGAAGATACACTGCCCAAGGGCAAGAGCCGTCGGTTGGATATTCGTACTTTTTCACCCGAAGAAGAGATTCCAGACTGGTTCTCTCACCCTGCAGAATGGCAAGGATTTCAGGGTTGATAACTTCCAGTATCTTGGACCGAAGACGGCTAGGGCCTCCTAATTCCCGGACCAAAACGTCGCCTCTTCGAGATTCTTTCAGGTGCTGAGACCTCGAAGGCTCGTGAAGGCCATGAAGAATTTGATCGAGAATTCGTAAGTATTCAGGCATTTTATTGCGGTTGGCTGCGCCCGACTATTATCAAGAGTCAGGCATCTGGAAATGTTTTGCGATTACTGTGACTAAGCCAACTTACGGACGATGATACCTGAGACCTTTGCGTCCATTTTCGTGGACGGCGATGATCCACAGCGTTCTTCGATAAGGTACTACTAGACCTGTCTGCCCAAAGACGCAAGTATTTGTACCCAACACGTCGTATGAGTGGCATTCTTAACACAGAAAGTACCTTCACCCAACATATTGATGGGCGCAGGAATCGATTTGGTATAGCGGCGAGCCCATGTTGTAGCATTTCGGGCTATTGTAGTCCTGAAACTATCAATATTTGGAGAAAGTCCTCGATGGATGTAAGGTCTTAGGGCGGTCATTGAAACGACTGAGTAGACAATACAAGTCTGGATCATAAAAGTTAAGCCATGGCACCCGGCTTTAAGACCTCAATCTTTGTATTACAAATCCGGCGGGTTGCCCTTCACTTCTGATTTTAGGTATAAATACGAGTTGCAGCCTGTGGGAGAATGAATGCACTGGAGAGCCAAAGTATCGTATATAAGTCTTCGTCCTATGAGATCTAAGGAATTTGGTCTTGAGAACTGAGTGTCTGGGAGACCCGTTTCAACGCTGAGAGTGAATTGGAAGGAACATGTTGTCTTCACCGCGACAAAGGATCTTTCCCCTCACGCCGAAACAGAGAGATGAATGTCTTGGTGCCGTTTAGAGTCGAATGCCCGGGGGTTAAGGGGGAAAGTAGTCTGAACTGCTTTGCATGAAGCTTAGATGGAACTATGGAACTTGAAGATTCTTTCTGGATATAGGCCAATCACAATAATACTCTAGACAGTAGAGAGGTTGAAAGAATGTCAGTAACAAGGGATAGGACTGGTGCCGGGGAGGTTCTCGTGCACTATATCACCCCAATACTGCGACGTTGAATGGGATGTACCTGGGTGCTCCTATGGGAAGTTTTCGGTACAGAGGAGAATCTGTCTCCCTATTTTGTTTTCGGCCATTTGAGTGCTAGCTTCTAACTTCAGTAGACCGAGCATCAAAAGTCCTTCATCATTTCTGAGCTACACTCCGGCTCCTGTACTCCTCAGCAATCAAGGCTTGTCTTGGAACTTCCCAAAACCCTCGTTACCAGCAATAGCACTGTCATTCTCCCCACTACCCACAGACTTGACACCCGAATGCGCATTATCCGGCTCGCCAGTCGACTCTTCCTTGACCGCCTCCTTCGCCTTCTTCTTCTCCTCCCACTTGAAAGCAAAGTGAATCCCAACAAAAATAACGGCCGAAACCAATGCAAAGGCAAGATACAGCTTGGCGCCGATGCGCCAGTGTGGGGCCTCGGATGCCGGGAACGCGGCGATGGGGATGAAGGCGCTCATGATGTAGGCGAGGACAGTTCCGCTGGCGAAGAGGACGGTGCGCACCTCGGGCTCGCCTTGGAGGTGGGCTGATGCCCAGGAGCATAGCAGCATCGTGGAGACACTGAATATATTTAGAGTGGTAATCATGGGGCCTTGGTTCAGGTTTGACTTACGCTCCGATGTAATTCATGTACCAGCCGGCCATATAGGCTTGTTGATTACTGGGTCTTATGATGAGGATGATCTGTGAAGTGATGTTTATGACCTGCGTGATATTAGCCAAGCAGAACGAAGTCTAAAGATTCAAGATAATTACCGAATGCAGAAGTAAGAATGGCAGTCGAACTCCAAAGTAGTCGCTGAGGCCACTGAAAAGCAGCTCTGCCACGAGTTGGACGGCTTGGCCGATGATGGGCAAGTAGTTGAGCATGGCAACAGAGCTGGAGGAATGATCAGCACGTTCTTTTACTTCAAAGAACAAGGCGATTACTTACTATTTGACCGATCCATCTGCGTTCTTCAAAGACTTGAGCCACAAGTTGAAGTAACTGGCTGGCGTAAAATTACCGCCAATGGGCCATGCGACTGTGGTGCACAATGTCAGTATAGGTACTCGAGATTATTTCAATTCAGCACTCACTAGCAAATGCCCAAAGTTGCCAGAAGCTGAAACATCGCACGAAAGACTTGATCGTAATGCCAATTTGTGGCTTGCGACCGACCCTGCGAGCACGGGCAAGGGCAATCTCAATATGCTTCGGCTTCAAGTAGAACTTTGCCAGGGGATTTGGGCGTTCGGGCTTTATCATCGGTTAGCAACACTGTTTTCGGTACCTCATGAGAATCCAATTAGGGGCTCGAAAGTGCTCACGTAGCCGGGAAGAATGAAGAACGCAGCGAGAGCTACGGCTATGGTACAAACACCCTAGAAAGAGGTCAGACCAGTAGAACTGAGTGCCAGCTACAAGATTTCCGCTGTGACTTACATTGATGATGAATGCCCAGCGCCAGCCAGAACGTCCATGTAGACCCTCAAAATTTGTTGAAAGCGCCCCTTGCATCGCGCCCGAAAGCATCGCCCCGGCCGGCTGAGCAATGTTGTACAGACTCATGCGTAGGGCGACCTCGTGGGGCATGTACCACTGGCTGATGAGGGTAAAGTAGCCTGGCCAAGCTGTGCCCTCAAAGAAACCGATGAGGAAACGAAGGCCGTAGACCTGGTTAGAAGTCAGAGATGAGGTTTAGTGGTGGTGGTTCGGGATTGTGACGTTGTACCTGTTTCGCGCTGGTGACAAGTGAGAGGCAGCAGGTGAGGATGCCCCAGATGAGCTGTGATGTCAGTTAGTAAGCCGCTACTTTGGGGGCCTCTGTAAAAACTGACTTCACATGCCGGCAGCCATTTCGAGGGGCCAAAGTGGGATATGATGATGCATGAGGGATACAGCATAATCATGTACCCGATGCTGCACACAACATCTTTGTTAGAACGCCTCTATAATATAGAGTGGAAATCATTAGCTCACTTGAAGAATGTAGTAAAATAGTTGAGCTCATTCCCCAGAAGATTGAGGTCCTCCTTCATTCCTGACACATATGCATTGCTCTATAACACGTCGGGTCAGTACTTTCAGTTGCCAGACGGCATGAAAACGGATCTCATACGATATTTGTCTGATCAATGTATCTATCAGAGGGTGTTAGCTTTCAGTCTACTTGGCGGCAGCTCAGTTCACACTCACTTAAACATGTAACCCAAGAAACCAATTGTCAGGAAGAACAAGTCCAGGCGCCAAAGCTGTGCACTATTTTAGTAACGGCGCCGGATATATATATCATGCCGGAAACCTACGAAAGCCCTCTCGTCTTTGGGATCAATATCATCCTTTGGATTGCTCGCGATCGGGGTAAGAACACCTTCGGATTCAGAGTGGATGCGTCTTTGCTGGGCCGGTGGCAGCTGAGCCGCGACTGGGATTGGGGTTTGCTCTGGAACGCCCATATTGGTTCTCTTGCAGTCGAATGACAAGCTGCAAAACCTTCACGTCTTTTTAGAAGCAGAGTCTACGAAAGCAAATCCCACTTCGCGTCGAGGATGAAATCTGACTATCACTTGCTGATGTACTTATACGAGCCATCAAGAATTTCCTGCGGCAAAGAGCCGCGAATCCTCCATGATGATATCAAAGTCAGAGGCGAAGACGTGCTCCGCGTGGTGTGGTGTGCTGGTGGAGCATGCCGACGACCTCGGACTGAAGGGGGTTGACTACGATTCACGACGTTGCATGCTATCCATAAAGGGTTCGAGAATTACACCTCAGATCTGTATTGTATGGAATTTAGCTCATTCGAGAGTCCTTTGTGGCTTTCAGTCGGAGACTGTCCGTCAGTCAAAGTAGCGCCGGCTATTTGTGCCGAAATCCAGAGGGGCGTTGCCGGCAACCTTGCGACATTGACAGGGGAGAAGACGTGATACGCCCAACGCAAACCACGGCCAGATAAGGACCAGCGACTCTCCGCACATGCCTCGTCGCCGCATTTTGTGGTTATTGGACGTTTAGTTCTTCTGTCGCAATTCCACCGCAATGCATTACTCCTTGCGGCTTCTTGCATGTTCGTGTCGGCGAGAGCCCGACGCTCAAGGCTTAATGCGCGATCAAGCAAGCGTTCAGCTCGCAGGCCCTTCTACAAGAAACAAGGCGTCACGCCTGTGACTATTGGAAGACCTTTCACCTCCCTTGCCCTAACTGTCAGGAGGTAGTCTGTAAGGGGCTGTACGCTGAGTTGACAAGTCGACAGCGTGATAGCTCCCGGGTGGCCAAGTCTACCTCTCCCGCAAGCGTTGGAGTCTGTGACTGTCAAGTCTGAGGGGCATTCGATGTCTTCGAACATAGTCTGAACTGTCATTCGCTGAACTTGGCAGCAGAGTCGTGTTGCGAGTTTTGGCGGCCCTTGTTTCTTCAAGAGAGGGCGGCAAACTTGACATCGTTGACCCAGTGTTACCGCATCGACGTTGACTTTCACTAAGCACGGCATCGGGAAAGAAAGCGAAGTGGTCATATCTTCATGAAAAGTAAGAATCTTGAGTAGAAGGTGGCGAAGTTGGAGGCCTGCTTTCTTCGATCCAACACTCGAAGAAGAGTGGACCAGCTTCGACGGAGCGAAGTGGTATGGTAGAGGCCCCTCCGATGCTTGGGCCTGATACCGGGTTCGTCTTTGAGGCGGGCTGAAGCGCGGGTTCAGAAGGAATCCAAGGTTGAGGGTGCTGTACCGAATGTCAGAACACATGAAGCTGGCGAGGAGTTAGGAGATGTGATGCCTACCCCTATCGGCGCGGGCGCTTCGTCTCGTAGTTCCACGGCCATGGTAAAGGTACATCCCTCTGGCAATGGCCCCTTCATCTCGGCAGCATAGGCTAGACGTCTGAGGGCTCCTCTGTACGCCTCGTTCACATCAACCCAGTTCACCGAGCCGTCATCGTCGTCTTCCTCACGTCGCTGGAACCTCTGTGCCTGGCCGAGCTTCTCCTTGCCCTTGCCCGTAGCCCAGACCGGGAAGTTGGTGACGTCAAAGACCCATCTCTCGACGACAGCCATTGTCTCTGCGGCATGAATAACAACACAGACTTTTGAGACGGTGCCAAGTGCAAGCTGGTCCTGTATCGCAGCCAGTGCCGAGTTGATCCATTCGCAGAGGGCTGGATGGCGGGACTGGGGTACTGGCAGGTTATGGGCTTT